AAAAAAAAAAAAAAAAAAAAAAAAAAAAAAAGGTAAAACAAAATCCCATGGAGCCATGAACCATGAACCAGCTTTTATATGATGTGTGGAGCTTCAACCAAACCAATTGTACTCTTGTTTGCCTCATATCTTCAAAGTTATTGCAATCCCCCATCCTTTGTTGCCTTTAAATTAAAAAAGTCTTTGGTTTTTGGTGGGGACCACTTTCACCAATCAATGCCAACCTTTGAAAATTTTCATTCTTCACTTCTCCTCCCCATATGTATTCCACACACACACACACACATTCACACTCCACTATACTTATTACTACAAACTATTTTCTTTCATATCATCTCTCTCTCTCTCTCTTATTCACACCAAAATAACATATGTACCAAATCCCCTTCCCTTGGGAATCTGCAAAGCCATCCCCCCAAAAAAAGGGCCCATAATTAAATCTCCCAAAATGTCCAAAAACTCTTACACACACACACACACAAAATTTAAGTAATATTTTTTTTTTCAATATTTTTTTTTCAAAAAAAAAAAATATTGAGGATTTTTAGACAGACTTTGGACCACACCAATTATTATTATTATTATTATTATTATTATTATTATTATTATTATTATTATTATTATTATTATTATTATTTTTTCTTAATTTTATTTTTCAACACCCATCACCCCCACCTTAATTAATTATATCAGAATTCAGAGCTTGTCTTGTCATCATCTGCCCACCAATAGGAGTTATTTAATAATTTCCTCCTTTTATTACTAGAATCAGATGAAGGGGATGAAGAGCCTGATGATGATGATGACGATGATGATGATGATGAGTCACTCGTGATTAGACTCGGCCGAGCCATGACTCGGACCTGTGGCAGCACTTTTGTTTGCTTCTTTGCCCTCTTTCTCATTGCAAACTTCCGAATCAAATGGTAGCATATCATGATATTGTCCTGAAATTAATATAAACGAATTTTCACTTATATATACCTAAAACCACCATAAATTCATTTAATTACAATATACATATTTATGGGATATTTTATGGGTGACGTACGGAACCATTTCGCCGAGGTTTGTAACCATTAGATCAATTATCTCCTACGACTACATGATGATCTAACGGTTACAAATTTTGACGGAATAGTTTCGGGTTATATATATATTCTTACTTTGTGAAGTCCATGACTCAATGACTCGGCGTGTTGAGCTGTGATTGAAGAAAAATTGGGCAAATCATTTGCTGCACAGAGTATGGCCGCAGCAGCTATGCACGATGGCCTATACTCGACCAAGCTCGTCTCTGTTAATTCATCAAACATATATTTTTTCAAATAATATTTATTAGCACAATATATACTACTTAATTAAAAATAACTATGTCAATATTTACAGACAAATTCATTTTTTCAACAAGAAATTAAAATAATTTTGTCACTCTTCAACTGGAACTGTTTCTTATCAACATGACTTGTCATAGGTGTGTACAAGAAAGATTTTTCTACTCAATATATTTAAATAAATTTTATTTAATAATAAGAATGATAGAATAGATTATTAATTAACCAATTAATTAATTTATTTTATAATATACCTTGGATAGTAGAGAGAATGATATCTCTGGCCCTGGATAAAAGAAATCCGGTATTATTAGTCCCACTCGGATCAATTTTGAGCGCGAAAAAGCTGAGGTAGCAAAATGGAGCTATCCATCTAAGTCTCCAATCAAGGGCCCTCAGCACAAGAAGCTCCATTCTCTGGATATTTTTGGCCTCAAAAATAAATTTTGCACCTTCAACCTTTAAAAAAAAATTAATTAATTAATTAGAAAATTACGGGTTTTTTTAATTTAAATTAATTAAGCGAGTTACAATTAATAATCTTAATTAAGAAAAATGCAACGACCGTTACGGAATTATTGTAACCGTTAGATCATCATGTAACCGTCGGAAATATTTAATTTTACGGTTACAAATTTCTACAGAATGGTTCCGTAACGGGACGTAGCATCTCCCTTAATTAATTACCTGAAGATCCAAAAGAGAAGGAACCAGAGGTTCCTCCATCTTAGCAGCCAATGATAAACAAGCAACTGATAATAGTTGCAATGGCCATCCCTTCATATCCTGCATTTTATTTATTTTACAAAAATGTTTGAGTCAAAAATAACAATTATCATTTAGAAAGAAAAAAAAAAGTATGAATGAAAAATAAAATTGATTATTGAGCATTCACAAATATTAAAATATAAGTAGACAAATGAAGATAAGTTAGATAATTAAATGTCAATTATAAAAGCTAATTTTATTTTTTAAATAATTATTTTAATTATCATGTATATATATATATAAGATTGACTTCACTATATAATATTTCATAGCAAATTATTGGCTTTATTTAATGGAGACAGCCTTTAAATAAAATGTTGTCCATACGTGTGACACTTTTTCCTCGCAAACACCTAACATTAGACTATTTATTTTAATTAATAAACATCGGCTAGACAAAGAATATATGTATGTAGGTGAAATAAAACACACGGAGACTTCAATTGTGAAGGATATATATGTACTTTATAATATAATTCACTATTTATTTATAGTACTACCAATAAGAGAGCAACTTCATAATTATTAAATTAATGTGTTTTGGCTTACAACTATATATGGACTCTATCCATAAACATGTTAAATAAATAACAAATGGTGGACCATTCTGTCGGGTCTGTAATCGTTAAATCAATTATCCCGAACGGTTACATATTGATTTAACGGTTATAAAACTCAACGGAATAGTTCCGTAACAAAACTATAATGTCTCCCTACATAAATTAATAAGTAAATAAAAATAAATAAATAAATAAATAAATAAAAATAAAGAAAAGGAAAACAGTGTACTTGACGGTGACGGAAGTCATACCGACAAGTGATGAGAGCACAAGAAACGGTCAAAGTAGTTGACGGAGAGGTACGCCGTTAGAGGTTGGAAGCCGTAATAACGTTGCACCTGCATAAATAAAACAAATAAAAAAAAAATCTGTCAACTCTCCGTAAACTGCGCCGTGAAGAAAATAGTGCGCCGCTGGCTGAGCCACTGTTTCATCGCGTTCTTCATTCTCAGGCGGCACATACTAGCGAATCCGATCATGCAGAGCTAAAATGCGCCGCCTCGAGAATCATCGGTGGAGCATCACAGAGCCTAATTTTTACACAGAATCTGAAAAATTAACAAAAAAAAAATTGTGACCATACCTTGAGAATCCATGCAACAGATTGAGCTCTGGCAGATGCGTCGATCGGTTCGTGAGAGGATCGAGAAATACTGGCGGCGAGATCTCTCTCATCTGCTAAGAGTCCGGCGATGGAGTCCTCGAAGTCCAGCGGACGAGATTCGACGTCCGACGAATATTCCGGCAAGTAATCGCCCACTCCGGAGAAAACTGAAGTCGAGTCCTCTTCGCAGAGAAAATCAGAAAGGCAGTCGGAGCAAGACAATGACATGGTGAGTAAGACCTCAGATGACGACAGGCCCTCACTCTCTCACCATCACTACAGCTCGGATTATTGATCGCCGGAGTTTGTCGGAATATGTGCCGGAAAATTGGGGCGAGAGTGTTGGGGGGAAGGGGCTAAAGGTTTTGTTGTGTAGATTCGGTGCTGTTGGCGTTGAATATATAGATAGATATAGCCATTTTTGTTTTTTTTTTTTTTTCATTTATTTATGTTTCATAGAAATTTATTTTTAATTTTAGATTTTTTTGAGATAAATCATTAGTCACATTTAATTTAAGTTGGAAAAAATGTACCCAAAAAAAAAAAAAAAAATTAAGTTGGAAAAAGAAAAGGTTAGAGATCAATTTGCTAAAGTTCAACTCCCAACCCCCAAATGTAGGAATAGTCTAAGCTCGAGTACTTCAACGGAGTACAAGAGTAATTATGAGAAGACATCGAGATTAATGTATCACTGGCACTTCGATCGTAATCGTAGTTACTAATATCTTTCGGAAAAATCTGGGAATTACTAATTAGAAGCTAGGATTTGGTTCCAACGGGTTGCATTGAGTTCACCCCAACAATACAGTGTAATATAATCAGTGACGGATCTAGAAATTTTACTCAGGAGGGTCCGATTTTAAAAATTAAATAACGGATTTATGGTTTAAGTCGAAACACTCATTTCATATAGAGATGTATATACTATAAACATAAATATCGATATGCGTACGATCAAGTTTTTTAAAACTTAGAATCTGTATCACCCTCAAACCTTTAAAAAAATAAACAAAAAACAAATGATTTCATTTATTTATATTTTAAGTTCAACATCTAAAATTTATAGGAAATTATTTTTTTGGTAGAAAAATTGATTGAAACTGAACTTTGATACCACATTGCGCATTTATGTTGATGCGAACTTATCAAGTGAATGATTTTTAAGAAAATACACATGAAGTTAAGAATATAAAATTACACAAAAAAAGTAAAAAAATCACCATTAAAAATGTAACAATCCAACTAAATACTCGGTGTTATAAATCACTAAATCGAGTTACAATTAAGAGACATAAGGAGTAAATCATTACAGATATTTTCAAAAACTTATCTAGAAAAGTAAAATATAAGGACTTTTAGTGCATTTCTCAATAAAATAAAATAAAATAATATTATTAATTTTAAATTAGAAATAGCATAAAAAATAAGTTTTAATAACTAATATATTGTAAATATTTTTTTTGCATTCTATGCACATTTTATAGTATTTTCTATATATATATATATATATATATATATATATACACATTGATTTTTTTTTTTTTTAAAAAAAAAAAAAGTGAGGGGGGGCCACGGGCCCCCTGGGTCTGTTGTAGGTCCGTCATTGAATATAATGAAAAAATATGTTTCTTAGGTAGATTGGTAGGTCAATAATGAATTTCTTATAATTTTAGTTTTTCTTTTTTGGAATTGCGCAAATAACATGGAAAGTTCTGATCAGAATTTCATCTAAGTCAGTGGACATTACTCCAAATAAATTGTGGGCAGGGCGTTGGATCAGTCAGGATCATATTTGGATTCGGAGTGTTTCGGCACATGTGCTTGATAGTTGATACTGATAAGTGTGAAAAGTTGTTCGAAATATGGGTATATGTGTGATACTCCATAGTAACGAAAAATATGTTTATTTTACAGTATCGAAAAAGCAGAAGCGAGAATGTTGTTTCAAGGTTGATCACTTAAGAGAATAGAATTTGCAAAACTCGTAAGGAGATTTAGGACCACATTTCTAGCTACTATAGCTCTTTGTTGTCCACCGAGGGCACTTGGGGAGGTGAGACGTTGATGCATCTAATTCTTCATTCCACCACTGAGATGAGCTAGGAGTTGCTGAAACATGCAGACGAGGAAGAGATCAAAGATTCTCTTTTCATCTTACATTCTGATAAATCTCTTGGAGAAGATGGTACAAATGTTTTATTCTATTTTCGTTTCTGGCAAAATCTCTTGGAGCAGATGGTATAAATCTCTCCATATGATGTTGTGAAAACTCAAAATGCATGTATCATGACTTTGGAATAGCTGGCTATACAGTATCTTTTGTAAAGGCCTAAGAAATGAAATTAAGAATGGGGTATCAACCAAAATAGAGGATATTAATTGGGTTCCTACTCTTGCTAAACTAAAACTTGATTTGTTAGAAATTACTAGAGGCCGTCTGGTTTGGGTTAAAGATTTGATAAATCATATGTTGGAATGAGTGGCTGGTAAAACAAGTGTTTGATGCTAATGATAGCCAAGCTATTTTGAATATCAACTCTCTGAATCCTATGAAGGCTGATATGAAGTACTGGGGCCTAAATAAGAAAATACTCTTTTTAATCTTGTATCTTACTCTTATTTGATTGATCAACAAGTCCAGGAGTTGAATCTTCCTGAAATGAGTGTGAACGACATCCTTATCAAATTTGCTAGAATCAGAAGTTGGAACCTAAGGGTTAAAGAAAAAGTAAAACACTTCATTTGAAAGTGTTTCTCTATGACCTTACTTGTTAAAGTGAATTTGAAGAACATGGGTCTGGATATTGATGTGATCTGTAAAGATGCGGAGAAGAACCTGAAATCATTGAACATGTTTTCTTCCATTGTTCTATAGCAAGTTCTCTGTAGAATATTGAGCTAGTTTAATGGTATGGAATATGCAATTCTGATAATTCTTTCAATTCTTGGTGGTGACAGATGTGTTCATTGAATATTTAGAAGTTGATGAGGCAATGATCCAATTAATAAGTTACTTGTTCTGGTGGTTGTAAATAAAAAAACTTGTAGCTATTTAAAGATTCAAAATTTCCAGTCCCTGTGGTAGTCAAAGTAGCTCTCAAGGAGTGGCTCGAGTTCTGTGCTCTGAAGACATAGCTTTTCAGGTTGTAGTTGAGTCTGTTGTCTTTTCTGATTGTTTTTTTTCTTGGCTTCCTGTTATTGTTTGGAGTAGGGCTGACATTTTCTAACCGAAAATCAAAAACCAAACTGAACCGAACCGAACCGACGAGAAAATAAACTGAACCGTACCGAACCGCTTGTAACGGTAACCGACTATCGGTCACCGAATCACTATCGGTACAGTATCGGTTTGAACCCATAAGAGTTCGGTAAAACCGATACCGAACCGATAAGGGTAAGAAAAAAGATTATTTTTTTTTAAATATTAAAAAAAAGATTAGTTGTTTAGTGTTCAAAAATGAAATTAAGGGCTCAATCCTACCTAAATATCAAAATGACGAAAAAAATACCACTACTCATCGCCTCATTCACCTTCTAATCGGAACATTGTCGGTTTACCAGTCTCACTCCTTCTAAAGAAGATGCTACCGTTACTTTAGTCTATTCTCATATGTAACGCCCAGATTTTTATTTACTATTTATGGAGCTCGACTATATTTCCATAAATATTAAGTTTCTAAATTTCATGCATTATTTAAATTTATTTGCATTAAATTAAATAATTAGTATCAAAGTCTAAGCCATGAATAATTCTTCCAACTTTAATTATTAAAGTTGGAATTTTATTTAAGTGATCCGAAGCCGGATAATTTAATTATATCGAGCCCAAGTCCAATTTTATTCCAGTCCATTTTAAAATCAAGCAAACAGTTGATTTTAAATCCGAGCCCATTATTAGTAATTATTTTGACTGACTAATTTAATTAGTCCTAGTTCGATTAATATTATTTAGCAAGCCCGAGCATTTAATTTCCTAAGTTCATATCCAATTTATATTCGAGCCCAACTCGAGGATTTTCAAGGCCCGGTTTTGAGCCCATTAAGGGAGAAAACCCTAAGCTCCCTCCATGATATAAATAGACCCCCTTGTCTCCCAACCCCCAACATCCAACATCAAAACCCTAGCCCCCACTCTACTATTCATCATCATCTTCTTTCAAAATTCAAGATCAAAACTCTATCTTCATCCAAGAATCAAGAAGCTTCATTTTATAAGCCATCTTCAACACCAAAAACAACAAATACATGGCTTGAGCTTCAACCCGCAGCTCCCAGCTCGAGCCATCCGCCACCATCACGAGCCACGACTACCAACACACGACCAGCCCGTCCATCCGTACACTGAGGCCTGTCTACGCGCACCAGCTCGCACATAGCGGCATCTCGACGTCCGTACGCACCCCTCCAGCTCATTCGCACGACCAGCTGTCGAGCTTGCACCATTTCCGACACATCCTCTCATCCTCGCCACTACTCACCACCAGGCCGCCGGAAAACGACAAGCTCAGCCACTGAACAGCCCGCATCCGCCATTCCCAGCCTCCTAGCTCGCGTCCAAGCTCCGCACCACCGGAAATCGCGAGTTCCGCAGCTCCTCTCGCCGGAAAATAGCTCTTCCGCGACCACCACCGCACCAGGCCCGCAGCTCGCTACCAGCTTCATTTTCCGGTGATTTCAGCACCTGCTCGCGACCAGCTCCTCAGATCCGAGCTCAACGCGCGAAAACCGTCCCGGACAGCAACCTACAGCTCAAGAACCCAGCCCCACGGCCCTAAGATCCGACCCATCTTTCTCCTTGTCCCCTTGTTCTAGCCCGATCTACTATTGTGCTATCCAGATCCGCTCGTTTTCGAGCATTGTGAGGTATAATAACTAGAACTCGATTTTAATGGCTTAAGTAAAATATTTGAGATGATAAAAAAATTAATAAATTGGGTGATTTGAGGCGATTTTGAATAAATCGGGATTTTCGGGCTTAAAGCTAATATGTTCGACTTTTGAAACATAAGTGATAAAATAATTATTTAAATTTGATAAATCATAATTAATTGTCTTGAGGCTTAGGTAAAAATTTGAGAATTTTTGGGGTTCGTTTGATAGGCGAACCGATTTTATGTGTATTTGATCGGTCGTAGCGATTTTTGGTTGACTAGTCTAGAAGTTGACTTTAGACTTGATTTGTTGACCGTGGACCATACATATATTGAGGATGTTATGTTTTGATTTTC